AAGGGTGGAGTGTCTAGGGTTTTGCAGGTTTACTCTCTATTGGCTAATTTAAAGCAGAAAAGCAGGAATTAGGGCATAAGAAGGGAGAAACAGGGTCACTCAAGCAGTCAGTTATATCTAGGTAACCTGGGGTTTTCTGAGAGACCTTAATTGGTGGTGGTTGTTTTTTTTAGTAGCTGTGTCATACAGCTGGCAATATGTTTATTCAGGATAAATGTTTTTTTTTTTTGAAATGGGCGTCATGGCAATTAAAAGCTTAATATTAGACATACTACAATCAAAAAAGCTTATTGTCAAACACTTAAACTACAAATACCAATATAGTTTCAGTGGTATATAAAACCTTGGTTCCTATAGTTATGTTGTTATTGTCACAACTTAGACTTTTATGTGCTTTGTGCCCTTTCATAAAGATTTATAACTATTATTTTATGTAGTTGCCTTTCAGTCGTGTAGAAAATAAAAGGGGTACAAGCCCAAAATACATTAATTCTGAATTTTATATTTACCTACATAAATACCTATCTTTATTGGTGTTTTTTATTTCTTCTTGTGGTTTCAAACTATTGGCTCATGTTCTTTCAGTTCAGCCTGAAGAGCTCCCTCTAGCATTTCTTACAGTTAGGTCTGCTAGTGTCATACTCCCTCAGTTTTTGTTTATCTGGAAATATTTTAATTTCTCCATCATTTTTGAAGAATAGTTTTGCCAGATATACTGCTTTCTTTCAGCACTTTAAATACGTTATCTCATTGCCTTTTGGCTTACATAGTTTCTGACGTGAAATCAGTTGTTAAACTTTTTGAGAATCCTTTGTACGTGATGAATTGCTTTTTTTGCTGCTTCCAGGGTTCTCTCTTTGTCTTCTGACAATTTGATTATAATGTGTCTGGGTGTAGAGTCTTTGAGTTAATCTTACTGGTGTTCATTGAGTTTATGAATGTCTAGATTTATCTTTCATCAGGTTTGTCAGGGAACAGCATTGTTTTATTGATTTTTAAACATTTTTTAAAGATTTTATTTATTAGATCGAGCATGCACAAATGGTGGGGGGGGCAGAGGAAGAGGGACAAGCAGACTCCCCACTGAGCAGGGAGCCCGACATGGGGCTCAATCCCAGGACCTTGAGAATATGACCTGAGCTGAAGGCAGATGCTTAACTGACTGAGCCACTGAGGTGCCCCAGCATTGTTATATTTAGACTGAAATTTCTATCTTACCTTCCTTGGCCTGTGATTATAGTTTTGGCTCAGTTTTTTAAAAGACTTTGCTATACTACTGGGTTTCTTCTGTACAACTTTGGGTTTCTTCTGTACACATGCAGCTTTGTGGTTAACTTGGGATTTTTGTCACTTTATATACAGTTAGAGGTCTTCTTTTCTGATCCTTCCTTTACTCTTTGACTTAGAGTCCCCTTTCCTTGGTTCTCTGGCTGGAAAGATAGAGTTTCTCTCAGAGTTAGAGCCACCTCTGCTGCTATCACTTTTGTATAACTGGGGCTAATTTATTTTATTTTATTTTTAAGATTTATTTATTTTACAGGGGGAGGGGCAAAGGGAGAGGGAGAGACAGAATCCTAAGGAGACTCCCCGCTGAGTGTGTAGCCTGATGTGGGCTTGATCCCATGATTCTGAGATCATGACCTGAGCCTAAACCAAGAGTCAGGTGCTTAACCAGCTGAGCCACCCAGGTGCCCCTGGGGCTACTTTTATGGTGAAGTGTTAAGAAAAAGGTAGCAAGGATTCCTTTCACACTCTGGTCACAGAGTTCTCTTTGCTAGTTCTACTGGCTGAAAAATGGTTTCATTTTCAGGCTTTTAGGTGCCTATATAGCTGTCACTTTGCAGCTCTGTGACTGAGGCTGTATTTGGAACTTGGCCAGCAGAGAGGAAAGAGAAAAGGGAAAGAAAAGAAAATCCCAAATGAGGATTCTTCTCATATTCTGTTTCACATTCTGTCCAGAAAGATGGCTTTCTCTCTGTGTTTTAGTTGTACCTTACGTATACTTCTGCACAGGGGCCATCCTGTTCCATGATGGGAGATAAAAGGAGAAAAACCTCAGGAAACTCATTACTTTTATTAGTCATTCTTTTTTTTAAAGATTTTGGTTTTTTTATTATTTATTTGAGGGAGAGAGAGTGAGAGAGCATGGGGGGGGTCAGAGGGAGAAGCAGACTCCCCGCTGAGCAGGGAGCCTGATGCGGGACTCCATCCCTGGATGCCAGGATCATGACCTGAGCTGAAGGCAGTCGCTTAACCAACTGAGGCACCCAGGTGTCCCTATTAGTCATTCTTTAAGTTTTGGCTCACCTCCCCAGTCCATCTGTTATTAACCTTTTAGAGTCCTTAGTTAGTTGCTTTTTGTATGTTGTCCCGAGGTTTTAGTTGTCATGAGTGGGAGTGAGAAGTTTTAGTGGGCTTAACTCCATCTTTGCTGGTGATTCTTAAACATATATTTTATTTCTCACTAGACCCTTGGAAGAGGAATGATAGTTGTGCAGAGGAGGCAGTTATTTTCCCCAGGTTCAAGATTTAAGCACAGTAGAGTTTTTAGCTTAGATGTCTACAACTTCTGGCTGCATGGAGGTTTATCATTTTAGGTCATAGTTGTGATAGGAATCATTTATATACTACTTACTCTGTTTCAGATCTTGTTCCCAAAACTTTACCTATACTTGTTTGGTCCTCACAGTAACTCTGTCAGGTCAATACTATATTATCTCAATTTTAAAGATAAGGAAATTGGGGGGTCTGGGTGGCTGAGCCTTCAGCTCAGGTCATGATCTCAGGGTCCTGGGATCGAGCCCGTGTCAGCTCTCTGCTCAGCAGGGGTCTGCTTCTCCCTCTCCCTCTGCCCCTCCCCCTGCTCGTTGTTCTAACTCTCTCTCTCTGTCCCTCTATCAAATCTTAAAAAAAATAAAGATAAGGAAATTGAGGTACAGAGAGAGAGAGAGAGGTTAGGTAATTTGCACAAGGTTACATAGATAATAAATGGTGGAGCCATGATTTAAACTTAGCATAAGATAGTTTAGTTTTAGAGAACATGTGCTTGTTAAAATTTTCACTTAGTATTATGGAAATTTTCATATACAGACCAAAGTAGAAAATACTATAATGAACCTGCCCCCTGCCATGTATCATTCAACCAGTTTTAATAGTTTTCAATATTCTGCCTTTCTTGTTTCTTTCACCAACTTTGTTTTTGATAAAGTATCTGAAAGCAAATTCTAGATATCATTTTAGTTATAAACACTAAAGTATGTATCTAAAATGCATAATAGCTTTTAAAACATAATATAACTACAGTATGAATATAACCACTATATAATCAAAACCTACAAAGTGAAGACTAATTTTCTTTAAATCATCTAGTATCTATTTTGTGTTCAGTTTTATCTGATTGTCTCAGAAGAATCTTCTTATAGTCCAGTTCAGGATTTCAATATGGTCCACATATTGTATTTGTTGATACATATCTTAATTGTAAAAATTCTGTATTGGTTCTAATCCTTTACCCTAGTCATCTTTTTGTGATTTTAACTTTTTTTTTTTAAGGATTTTATTTATTTATTTGACAGAGAGAGACACAGCGAGAGAGGGAACACAAGCAGGGGGAGTGGGAGAGGGAGAAGCAGGCTTCCCGCTGAGCAGGGAGCCCGATGTGGGGCTCAATCCCAATCGTGACCCGAATGAAGGCAGATGCTTAATGACTGAGCCACCCGGGCACCCGCGATTTTAACTTTTTAAAACTCTTAAAAATAAGCCTTTTATTTTAGAATAATCTGAGAAAAGTTGCAAAGATAGTAGAGTTTCCACATATTCCTCAACTATTTTCAATTTTCCCTAATTTGATTATCTTACATTACCATGGTACATTTACCAAAACTGTGAAATCAGCATCAGTATAGTTCTTCTGTTGATGTTTTTCCAATTCAGGATTGCATTAGTTGTCATTTCTCCTTATTCTCCTCTGATCTGTGATAGTTTCTCAGTCTTTCCTTTTTTTTCTGACCTTGAATTTTTTGAGGAGTTCTTATCAGGTATTTTGTAGGATGTCCCATAGTTAGCATATATGATATTTTTCTCAGGATTTGATTGGGGTCATGAATTTCTGGAAGAAATACCATAGAGGTAAAATGTCTCTTATGATTTATTTTCATTATTCTTTTAAAAAATTATATAAAAGTTCACCAGGCTCCAAGGTCAAAACTGTAAAACTATATACCTTTTTTTATTTTAAAGATTTTATTTATTTATTTGACAGAGAGATAGAACAAGTAGGCAGAGAGGCAGGCAGAAGGAGAGGGAGAAGCAGGCTCCCCGCTGAGCAGGGAGCCTGATGCAGGGCTCGATCCCAGGACTCTGGGATCATGACCTGAGCCGAAGGCAGCCGCTTAACCAACTGAGCCACCCAGACGCCCCTATATACCTTTAAAGTAGTTTCACTTTCATCATTTTTCCCTTCCTACTCTTTTCTCCCTTCCCCTAAAGGTAAGCATTTTTATTAATTTTTGGTTTCTCCTTCCCATCATTTTTTTTTTTAAATATTGGTAAACTCTGTTCCCTCTGCTTCCCCACTCCATCTTTTTACATGAAAGGTGATATTAGCACATGTTCTTAGCTTTCATACTGTACTTCCTCTTTAGGGTACTCCTTAACAATGACTTTTCTATAATGGCCCTTGTATTCAAGATGGTTTTCTGTTTTAAAAGTTAATTTTTTCGGGGGCTCCTGGGTGGCTCAGTCATTGAGCGTCTGCCTTCAGCTCCAGTTATGGTCCTAGGGTCCTGGAATCGAGCCCCGCGTCGGGCTCCCTGCTCTGTGGGGAGCCTGCTTCTCCCTCTCCCACTCCCCTTGCTTGTGTTCCTCTCTCTCTCTGTCTCTCTCTGTCAAATAAATAAATAAAATCTTAAAAAAAAGTTAATTTTCTCTAACTAATAGAACCTTTTCCTGTGCCTTTAAAGTGTTTAGCACATATTATATGGTTCCTTTTTTATTTACAGATATTTTCCAATTTATCCCTGGATGAGCGTTGCCTTTCTGCCTCATTGGTTTGCAAGTACTGGCGTGACCTTTGTTTAGATTTCCAGTTTTGGAAGCAACTGGATCTTAGTAGTCGTCAGCAGGTATGGAATCTAATTCTAAGAAACACTCACTTTGACCTACTCAAAAAATATCTTTATTCCTCTTCAGAAATCACTTCTTTCATGTTATAGTTTTTAAGATAGTTCAAGTGGATTATAATTTATAATTCCACGCTTTAGTAATTTTTTGTGTGTGAATTATGTTAAGCTAGGTTCTTGTGGTAAAGAAGGTATTTTTTAATGTGGATTGGTAATTTTGGGTTGCTTCTTAATCTTTGTCTAAGTCCTCTTCATCTTCTCCCTTTTTTCATTACCTTCAAAGAAAGTTATTAAACTTTTTGCCTTTTTTGGAGGGGGTTGTATCATTAATATTAGTTTAATAGAAAACGATGGCAAATGTTTATATAGTACTACTGATATGCTATATACTGTTCTGTGGGCTTTACACATAATAAAGCATTTGATCCTTCTAACAATGTCATGAGTCGATACAATTATTACTCCTTTTAATATATTATTGCACTATTGATAGTATTCCTATACTGTTGTTATAGGTGAATAGTATAAATATACAGTTGTTATAGTTGAAGAAATAGAAGCAAAATGGGTTAAGATACCTTGTTTTAATTTTCCAGTCCTCCCTATTGCCTGGCTTCCTAGTGTGTTTATATGGTGGCATAGATTAGGAAAAAAGGTAGAGTTAGTAGTATTTATTGCAAACAATTTGTTGGAATTGTTGGATTCTTCTTTTAGACCTGGTTGTTAGTACTTGGCATTGGAAATACATAAAATTATCCAATAAGAATAGGATTTTATTGGAGTACTGAACCTGCTCTAAATTCTTCCATGATATTTTTAGGTAGTGGTGTGCTGGTACATGCTGAACAACTAGCTGTGTATTATAGTATTTGCTAGTTTCTGTGGTGCAAATTCTCCCACCATGGCCAATTTCAGGCTACCAATGTGATAACCACTGAATGCAGGGATGTCACTGATTTGGAAAGAGGTATACATTACAGGCTCTTGTAAGTTCGTATAAGCCAACTTCAGCACACCACTGGTAGTTTGTGTGTGTGTGTGTGTGTGTGTGTAACTCATACACTTTAAACAAAATAAGCGAATTCCTGAGCATTTGTATGTAAGTTTCCTTTTTGTTTTTCTGCCTCGTTGGTTAGAAGTTGAAATAATTACAGAGTTAGTAATTTCCCTGCCTGGGTCCATGAAATTTGTGTCTAGGAAAATGGTGAGTATTTAGTTAGTTGTTGCTGGTCGAGTGGAAAGAAGTAATGTGAAATAATACATTGGCTCTTTACTTCATTAGTCTTGGATATCTGAGCTATTTGTTTTAAACTCAGACTAAGAATAGCTTTTCACCCCTACTGGTAGTTAGGTCTGGAGATGGAAAAAAAAGAAAATAAAAGGAGAGGTATGTCATAATTGTAGCTTTGAAGGTAACTGCATTTTTTTTTGCTTTTTCCAACAAGCATAAAGGTAGTTGCAGCCTTGGCTCTTACTCTTAGTGCTCCTGAACACTCCAGTTCTTTCCTTCTTCTGTTCTAAATTTCATCATGTGCATTTTCTTTCACCATTATTTGTACTCAAGGGACTTGAATAATATTAACTTTGTTTTCTTTTTTCTTTTTATTTTTTTGTTAACGTTTACTTGATGCACAATGTTACGTTAGTTTCAGGTGTACAACATAGTGCTTAGACAATTCTGTATGTTCTGCTGTGCTCATCACCATACAGCGCTGTTGCCACACCATTGACTATATTCCCAGTACTGTACCTTTCATCCCTGTGATTTATTCATTCCATGATTGGGTAGGGAATATGTAGAGGTTGATTTTTTAAAAATTATGTTTAAAATTCAGATGGCCATGTGAGTTTTTAACCACATGAATTTTAAGGTTACTTATATTTAAATATGTTTTGAGTTTTCTGATAAGAGCTATTTGATATGGACATTTGTATGTAATCTTTCGTGTGCTGATAAACAAAATGATATATTTTCTAAGCTATGAATTCGTTATATGAGGTAGTATTCTGAAATAAGTAGTAAAACAATTAAAATTTATATTTTGTGGTAGGTATCATCTAATTTGATTAGGTATAATAAGTTACGATTCATATAGCATGATGACTGATACACTATTTGCTGGGCTAAAAATAGAGAACAGAACATTTAAAATCTCAATACAGTTTTGTTTATGTGGATTTTTTGGTGAGTTTGAAGTTAAAGTAACTTTCCTAATAAGGATAGATCTTTAGGCTTCTTTTTTTTTTTTAAAAGATTTTATTTATTTATTTGAGAGAGAGAATGAGAGAGAGCACATGAGAGGGAGGAGCAGACTCCCTGCTGAGCAGGGAGCCCGATGCGGGACTCGATCCTGGGACTCCAGGATCATAACCCAAGCCGAAGGCAGTTGCTTAACCAACTGAGCCACCCAGGCGCCCAGATCTTTAGGCTTCTAATGAAAACTAACACATATGTTCTTGCTTGGTGTTTTTTGACAGCACTTCTGACACCAAATGTGTGGAGTTTTTTTCATTCTAACAAATTCTCTGATAACACCTGGGTGTCCAACAATTCAGTTCAATTCTGAAACTAACTCCTGGGGTTAGTGCAAAGCCTCTCAGGTTATTGGCTTAGTCCCGTAAGCCTGTCTCCACTTCATAGGCCAGTCACAAGTCCCAGGAGTCACCTGTACTTCTCACTGACCAGCTCTTAATTCAGGAGTTCCCTTGACCCTTTCCTCAGGTTTGATAATTTGCCAGAATGACTTACAGAACTCAGGAAAATACTTACGTTTACTGGTTTATTGTAAAGGATACAACTTAAGACTGGCCAGATGGAAAAGATGCATAGGACAAGATAAGTGGAGGAGAAGATGTGGCACTTCTGTTCAGTCTGTGGGCATGTCACCCTCCCAGCACTTTAAGGTGTTCACCAACCCAGAAGCTTGTCAAATCTCAATGTTTAAGAGTTTTTATAACCCAGTCTCTACCTCTCCTACCCTCCTAGGAAGTCAGGGTTTGGGGTTGAAAGTTGCCACCCTCTAATCACATGCTGTTTGGTCTTTCTGGTGACCAGTCCCCATCCTGAAGCTATCGGGGAGCCTCAACTTAAGTTATTTCATTAGTATAAACTCCTGTGTGGTCAAAAGGGGCTTGTTATGAATAAGAAAAGACACTCCTCTTAATCAGGAAATTCCAAGAGTTTTAGGAACTCTGTTCCAGGAACTGCAAGAAAGACCAAGTATGTATTTTATATTATACCACAGTCCTTGTTATGTTTAATATTAAATAAGAAGGTTTTCTTTTGATTGTGCTATTATATTATTTATTAGGGAAAATTTAATAAAAGAAAGGAAAGTAAGTTTCCTACTTGTAACAAAAGTTTAAATTTATTGCTTTTTTTCTCTCATAGGTCACTGATGAATTATTGGAAAAAATTGCATCAAGAAGTCAGAATATAATTGAAATCAACATTTCTGATTGTCGCAGTATGTCTGATACTGGCGTATGTGTTTTAGCATTTAAGTGTCCTGGACTTCTTAGGTATACAGCCTACAGGTGTAAACAGCTTTCTGACACTTCTATTATTGCGGTTGCCTCTCATTGTCCTTTACTTCAGAAAGTTCATGTAGGCAACCAGGACAAACTTACTGATGAAGGACTCAAACAGGTAAATTTTAGCATCTGTAAAATGGTTTTACTCTGATTAACTCAAAATGTTTGCTTGAAGCTACACTTTAAAAGATTATTTTGTTAAAAATAATGCACAGAGACTAAAATAAGCCATCTTTTTTTTTTTTTTTTGTACCCATGAATGTTTGTTTTAGTGAACTAGAATGTCATGGTTATAATTGGTAAGTTAACTTTGTTGTGTTTTGTAGTGAGTGCCTGAACTTCTGTGACAAGCCATTTATTAATTCTTTTGTTACTTAAATTTTATACCAAATTTTGCTTTAGGTACCAGTAGTGTGCAGTTTGGGTCAGCATGAGATTGTAAAAATTAACTTTTAATTCCCCTTTTATGTTACTAGAAGATACACTTATGTGCTTTAAAATGTATGTTTTAAGGCATAAATGGAAGTCCAAATTAAAGAGTATAAAATGAAGTAAAAGGTGGTCATTACCTATATTGAAAAAAATACTTGTATTGAAAATACTGTTATATGTATTTTTTTCTTTGATGCACTTGCTTTGGAAATGGCGTTTAAGATTTCCTGTCTCAGAGTGGATTATTCATTCAGTGAATATTGAATGGATTCCAGTGCCAGGCCCTGAATTTGTGAATATTTAGTTATGTTCCCACTATTGTACTAGGCACTTACTGTATTTTAACATTTAACCCTTGAAATAACTTTGTGAAATAGTTGGTATTAAACTCATTTTATAAAGGAAGAAATTAAGGCTTGGAGAGGTTAACTTGCCTAATGTTTAGCAAATGATGGAGTTGGGATATAAAGCCTGGATTCTTCAAAATCTCTTCCATCTTTAAACTTTTCCACTCCAGTAGACCTACTCTAAAATACCTTGAATAAAGGGGCCATGGACATTTGCCATTCTACCTACCGTTCCTTTGGCAAAAATTTTTGGAAGAAAGAATTAATAATTTCATTCAAGAACTTTGTCAGGATTAATGTTTAAATTCAGAATTGGGGTGCAGTTCTGACATTTCCCAATGAAAGCAGAATATCAGTAAAGGCCTAGATTTAAATCTGATCTGCAATGAACTTAGAAATAAATTGAAGAGCCCTAAATTTATTTTTATTTTTTTTTAGATTTTTTTTTATTTATTTGAGAGAGAGAATGAG